ACCAGACTGCCATGACTTTTGGAATTAGCATTTTTGTATTTTGTCAACCAGTAAGATTTCTACTGTGGCCTTTGAGCAAGTTGATAGTTGAAACCTTTTGATCTACCAGGCCAGGGAGAGGTTTTCTTTCATCTGTTAGTACATTCTGGCCCTTGAGCAGCAGCTGGAGAAATGAAGACAGTGTTGACTCCCTCTGAAACTGCAATGTAGATGCCTTACTGCTATGTAGAGACTAGGCAGATGGCCAAGAACATCTTCCGTGGGTATTTTTTGTAATCTCTTTTATATAGAAGTCTGTAAGGATGAGTATTGTCTGTTCAGATACACATTTAATGAGCTAAACCACTGATAGACAAGCAAAGAGTCTTACAGAGTGAGGTAGTCACAGGTGTTAAAATAAAGTTGTCTCTCTGATATTTTATCACCTTTCCTTGTACGTCCAGAGCCAGGTCTTTGGTGCAGCTTTGTGCTTCTAAAAGCAGCTTGTTTTATACGTTGTCAAATATATCTATATGTAATAATTTACTTTTATATTTTTAGGTGTTGAATTAAGATATAAATGCACACTGAATGGACATTCTGCCCCAGTTCTGGCTTGTGCATTTTCTTATGATGGGCAGATGGTAGTTTCAGGGTAAGCAGTATCTTTCACTTGCTTAAACGTCATGCAGATGGCTGTCCAGGTTCATGAATCACTATTGTAAAAGAGGAAGTTGAAAACAATTGGAGATTTCAAAATATGTTTCCAATAATTAAGGAATAGTTCTGTGACCTCTAGAACTATTGAAGTGTCTTTCCAGTTGGTCAGTGGTTGTGGTGATTGAATTTGCAATCTAGGATGTTGCAAGCTCTGTTCTCTTGAGTATCGTAATGAGATTCAAGATTTCCTGGTTTGGGGGCATTTGTGCAGCCTTTCATGTGGATCCTCTAGCACTTATTAAAAATACAAATCTACATGGCAGTCTTACCATCTCTTTGGGATACAATGTGGGATTTCTTTCTCACACCCTTCAGGAACTTTTTAGAAAGCTAAATGTCTTGAGATATTTGTCTTTGATAGATCTAGCTAAAATAAATTCTTTTACTGATCCACACTCAGAGTGTGGCAACATAAATCTTCTTACTATAAAAAGGGCATGATTGAGATAACTGTAGACCTGTTTTTGATGGTCTGTATCCTGTATAATAATGGATAAGACCCAAATTAATCATGAACTATCAGTTAGAGACTGATATTATTATTAGTCCGTGTTAGAGGATGATAAGGCAGTTGCCAATGTCATTGCAAGATCTCTCTGTTTGTTTTGAAAGACCCAGGGTGGTGGAGGTGATGGGAAGATTCCTGATGACTGGAAAGATGCAAATGTCACACGTACCTCCAGGAAGGGGAATTTAGAAGGTCCAGGGGAGTGCAGGCCAGTCAGCCTAACTCCAGTCTCGGGGAAGGTTATGGAGCAAATGCAGTGAACTGGGAAAGGGAGGGGGCTGCCAGGCTCAGGTGGTGGTTTGTGATCAGCAGCATGAATATAAAGTGTCAGCTGCTTACTAGTAACTTCCCTCAGGGATCAAGCTATGTAAAGAGGAAATTATAAATAAGGTAGATGAAATAATTTTCATGAGTCCTAATGATTGTATGCTTTTATTTTGCACTTTTCTTGAAAAGTGCTTAATCACTGAGTGGCAACTTGAAATAACAAAATGATTCAACTCTAAATTTTACTTGTCCTTTTTGCAAAGACTTTCTAACCTAAAACAGAAAAACTGATGCCTTGCAAAGGAAAAGGACTAGAATAGCCAGTAAATAAACTTAAACCTGTGCAAACCCCAGGATACAATGGCTTGCTGTGACATTTTGCTTTCTGTTGGCTTTAAGGGAGTCTTTTCCAGTATTTGAAGGTCATTATGAATGTTTGTGATCCAGGGTTATTTTATTTTCTATTAGACACATGGATTATTGGTTTTGCTTATCTTGTCAGAAATGGGATGTCTCTCCCATAAAGCCTTTCAGGAAACACTGCTGTCATGGCAAACAGCTGTGCAATCTGGATTTCCTGACATAGTTGAAGTGTTGATTCTCTTGTACCACTGTATTTTGTGTATTGCATTGCACTGCTTCGTCTAGCTTGCTTTGCAAATGAAAGGGTTTCAAAAGTAAACAAAAGTGCAGAGAGTAAATTGTTGATAGCCAGATTCTGTGCATCTGCTTTACAGACACTGCTTGCAGAGATTAACGTTACAGACAGTGGGGAGTAGGGCCAAACTGCACATGCACTGTGCAAATACTCTGTGTCAGAAAATCTCGTGGAATTGCAGAGTTTTCATTTTTTAACTCCTGATTTTTACATCATGCTGGAGGTGCAGCTAATCAGTGGTGGCGTTTCAGGCTGGGTGTGGGTGGAGGCTATATAGATAGCAGAGCTTTTAATGAAATGATGCTAAGAAACCTGTTTGGTCATGTTTTGTTTGCAGGAAAGGGTTTTTTTCTTCCTATTCTTAATTAAAAATAGTTTTCTTTTTCTTCTCTGGGCCATTTTAATGTTGATGTGGTTTTTCTAAAGGTCTGTGGACAAATGTGTCATACTCTATGAAACTGTAAGTATGGCATAATGCAAGATCATTTATTAGATTGTTGTCTTTAAATAGCTGCACTGCTTCTTCAGTGTCTCATCAACATTAAGAAATATTAAAGAATAGAAACTATATAAAGCCAAAATATTTACTGTGTGTTGGCAGGGGAGGGGGGAAGGAGAGAGTGTCGCTTGAGAATTGATTAGTCTTTTGCACTTGGTATTTACATTTCTTTGGGGGGGTTGTTATGTGATTTCTCTACAGTAGAGTATTATTAAATTAATTCTGTACTTACATGTTATCTTCATATTGAAGTAGAAGGATTTTTTTTTATGCTAAACTTATCTTTGTTTCCAAACCAAGAAAGAGTAGCTTTTGACATGAAATTGGGAGTGGTCATCATAGAAATTCTTTAGTTAAGTATATATAAAGTGCATATAAAATAGAGGCCTAATAAAGAATTCAGGAAAAGGTTTGCTAAAGACAATGCCTTTTCTTTGCAACATTGTTTATGCATTTTCTATAATACTGTTATTACATCCTTTGTGGTTAACCTGTAAGTGGCATTTACCTTTAGTACTTTATAGCATTAAAAATAATAATAATTTTGTTGAAAGTGAAGGTTGAACAAGTTTTAAGCTTCTCCAGCTTGCTCTGCACATGCTATTGTACTGATACCATTTTTCAGTTAGGGTTAATGTTTTTCACTATACCTTCCCAAGTTTTGGCCCAATTATTTTAGTGGTTTGAAGTTTAGACAGCTATGTAAGAAGTCCCATAGATTTTTGGAATGCCAGAAAATTTAAAGATGCAGAAAACTACAGCATTAGTTTTCTTAATACTCTTTGTCAGCTTCTGTGGCCCTAAGTTTTTACCGCACGGGACGGTAACTTCTGTGGCTGCTGAGGAGAAGCAGGGACAAGGCACCTTTGTGGGAAGGGGGGAGGTTTCAGCCCACAACAGGGCACTCTGCTCACGAGGGACAGCTCGAGGACATGGGAGTGCTGACCGACCAGTTAGTGATGCGGGATAACTTTGTTCTTCCTCTTTCCAGTCTCTCTGTGGCTGTCCAAGAAATAGTGTCTTTCATAAGAAGGAAAAGCTTTCAAATCACAAGTTAAAACTATATGGAAATTCAGGACTTTGTTCTGCAGTATCATCTAGTGGCCAGATAGGAGAACCACAGCTGGGGTTAGTTGCTGGTCCGGTTGAAGGAATCAGAGCATGAAGTCTACTTGAATTCCAGTTACCTCTTCACTCCTGGTCATTCTTATCCTAGATTTCTAGAAGAAATGTTTTTATTCACATGAGCAACCAGCCAGTATGGATGTAATTAATTCCTTTGGCATTTCTGGCATCATTATGCTGAGACTTCCCGTGCGGGCTGTTTGTTGAAGGATAGTGATAAAAAGGGGCATAAATTCGGGCAGGAAGTTCAGGTTGCATCTCTGGCTCTACTGCTCATCTGCTTTGGCAGGGCTGTACCATGTCAGAGAAATGCTGTCATCTTCCAAGCAGCAATATTACTCCTTGTTTTGAAAGAAAGTGTACAAACGATTGAACATTCTTTTTACTCTCTAAGAGTTAAAATTACAAAAATTCTTTTACAGAGTACTGGCAGTATCCTTCACACTTTGTCTCAGCATACCAGGTAAGTATGATTATTCTGTTTTACTGTTAATAAAGAAATTGCATCCTTTTCTTGTGAATATTCATACATTTATTTTTACTTGTAGATATGTTACAACTTGTGCTTTTGCACCATATAGTCCCTTACTTGCCACAGGTTCAATGGATAAAACTGTGAACATTTGGCAGTTAGACCTTAAGCAACCCTGTGCAGGTTAGTGTGTGAAGTATTTGTAATCTGTTCTTTAAATCTAAAGCACAATATTGTTGAATGCCTCCTGAAGATGTAAAAACTCCAATTTTTCTTCCATGCAGTTAGTTTGTAACCTCAGGATTATGTGCATGTTAGTGATCTTTTCTCTGAATTGATCTTATTAATGTCCTACAGAGGTATTCTCTATTAGTTTTTTAAAGAAAAGATATAATAGAAGTACTTTAATTTTACTAATCTGCTATAACTTCTTTTCTGATATTCACCACTTCTTACTCTCTGGACAGCATTTAAGAAATGAATATTATTCTGACAGCACTGCAAGACTTTTTGGACAAGTATCACTGGCAATGAGTTAAACAGAAAATATGCTAATTGCAAAATATGCTAATTACAACAAGAAATACAGCTTACCAGCTGTTATTAAACCAGGGTAATTAATATTACAAAATATTTCAGCACCTAAAGTATGTGGAACAAAGGTACATAGATCCTTGTTCAAAGCACAAGAGTCAGCTTGGACTTTGGTCTGCTTTTCTCAGGAGGTGTGAGACTTGGTTTCAGTGTCTGCTGATGAGTTTCTGTTGGTTAATTCAATTCTAGTTCAACAGAAGAGTGGGCACCTGGGAGATTAAATTCCACAATCTTTGCAAACCGATAGGTAAAAGACAAACCCAGGTTACTGCCCCCCCCACCAAAGTGATGTCTAATAAGCATTTTATTAGATGTTGAGGAATGTATAGTGAAGGTGAGAAGACTTGAAAACCTGCATTCATTCCTGCCATTGTTCTTAGAACTGGCTTTTTTACCCTGTTGGGTTGGGGGCTGTGGGGAGAGGCAGGGATGATGGTGCTGGTTTGCATTTTTTTTTCCTAACTGCCTTTTATTTTTCCTTCCCAAAGGAAATACTGTGGAAAATGAATCTAAGGTGGCTGTTGAGGACTGGTCAGAGGATGATGTTTCAGCCTGGCTTTGTGCACAAGACTTAGCAGACTTTGTTGGTCTTTTCAAAATGAATAACATTGATGGCAAGGAACTACTGAATCTTACTAAAGAAAGTCTGGCTAATGAATTAAAAATTGGTAAGAGTACAGAAATCCCCACAGTTTTTAATCTCTGGATTGCTTGTGAAATGTTGGAATGAAGTGAGTTAGGAGTTTCATACATTGATGGTTTCTTTCCCTGAAGTGCATTTTTATTTCATTACCAAGGCCGATAAAAACTCCTAATGTCACATTATCCACAATACTTTTTGTGTGTGTGTGTTTGCTTCTACATAAAGACTTTTAAAATGCATAAATGCACTTTATCAGCACTGACGTGTTAAGTGGTCTTATCTGCTTTTGCTTCTGTTTTCCTTTTTAGAACTTGTATTATTAAGCTACAGAAAAAGAACAATTTTTGTGTATACTTAATGATTCTGACTTCGGTACTCTGTAGTTTTTCCTATCAATCTGAAAAAGTGCCATGTTTATAGTACTATGTGGTCAACTGCCTTGAACTTAGCAGTGCAATTCTTCAATGTACTGTTGCCATAATAGAAAAACACAAGGTATGTTTTAGTTTTTATCTATTTTGGAGTTGAAGCATTTGATGTTGGCATGTAGTAAGGATCAAGCAAAGCCTGTGTGGCTTGGACCCTTTACAGTTTATCATGTGTCCCAGTTAATACATCATGCTGTCCCTTCATTGCAAAACTCTGATTACATTTTGGAAGGAAACACAAGGAAGTGTTGTATTAGTAATGATTCCACAGCAGTCATTTTGAAGTGAGAAATTTAAGGATAATGAACTACATTGGAACTTTCTGAATATAAGTTCTTAATTCATTTTGATTGATGGAGTTAGGTGTAAATTGGGTATTAGTATGTTTGCCAAAGTAACATCAAGACTAGCAAAAGGTTGAATGAGTTAAGAAACCTTTTTAAAAGTACAGCTTTATTCTCAGAGGTTAATGTTCTTTGGTGCAGGAAGACTGCTCCCTTCCTTTCCTGTTCTGTGTGTGTGCATGGCATTGGCTGTGTCAGGTCATAGTATCTCTTTGTAGCAACTAGCCTGGCTGAATGACAGAAGTGAACAGAGGTGCTGGGAATCCCTCGGGGCTGTCACCCAGGAAGGACACTTGGCTCCACCAGTCCCTGCACAGGTTGCCTTTGCCTGCACGGGCACTGAGGAGCCTGAGCTCTGTGGCCGCAGCCGCAGGCTGAGGTGAATGGACCCCTGCCTGGAAAGCTGTGTGAGAGTTGGATGCAGTGTGGCCAGTGACCTGCTGCACGGGGCTTCTCCGGGGGGGACAGCAACAGAGGCAGGTGTTGCCTGGTGGAGTTGTAATGACACTCAAGCATAATTTCAAACTCAAATAAGAAAACAAAACCTGAGCTATAAGAGCCCATCGCAAAACAGGCTGCAAGATGCAAAGGATGGACGTGCCTTCAGACAGAGCACGTGCAGAACACAGGCTGATGATGGGAAGCCATCTGCTATAAAAGGATGCAGTGAGGATTGATTGTACGTAAGAGCTGAAGTAGCCTCTGTATGTTCTTTCCTATTGTTGGGTAAAATGCCCATTGCTCAAGACCTTAGTCTTTTGCCATGCTTTTTCTTGAGCAGGTACTTTAACACTCACCTTAAGATTATAATATAAGGAGTCAGATATGAGGCAGCTATAAGAAATTTTTTAAAAAGCTGTAACTGAAACCACTAGCTGTTTTAATAAACATAAGCTGGTTCCACAAATATGAGCCAGCATATATGCAATGGGAAGCAATGAGTTCCACTGTCATGGTTACATGGAAGATGGTTTATAAAACAAACAGTGACATACACTACTCAAGTCGTCAGATAAAAGAATTCCAGTCAGTCAGTTCTGAAGTGGTAGTGGTAGATGCTTGTGATTCTGCTTCTGCATATCATTTTACAACTGTAATTAGCACAGAATAGAAATTATGGTCTGATATATATGTCTTGAAGAATTGCTCTCCAGCTGCCATGGCTCATGCATTTGCAAAACTGGAAAATACTGTCTGCCTTAGACTTACATGCTTTTTGGTGTTATTGAAATTCCAGTTTAACTAAATTTTAGGAGTCTACCACTGTAGAAATACTTGAATGAGCACATCCTTTCTCTCCTTGATAACATGTTTTCTTTGCTCTAAAAATGCAACACTTATTAGTTGTATAAGATCTTGCCAAAGAACTCTTGAGGTTTTTTACAGTCTTTGCAAAGAGAGGGTTGTTTTGTTTTTTTTTTTTTTTTATTAGCTGCCTATTTAATGTCCTCTTAGTCTTTGCTTTGGCACTGATTTGCATTTAATAAAAAGGGTATCCTCATGCCTTGGTAGGCATTTGGTCTGAGAGCAAGTGATCAGCAAGTGGTTCACATAACATTTCATTAGCTTTGATTGCTTTTGACAGCTTTTTGAAAGAATGCTTCGTTACCGTGCAAATGGAACTAGCCTCTCTCCAACCTCATTGTTATACAACATAAATAACACTGTATTAAGCCCTGTAAGAGGTTGCACAAAAGTAAAGTGACTGTTATGTACATTCTGGCTGAAGAGCTTGTGTACATACATTCAGCAAAACTCCGTGTTTCTGGCTGTTAACAGACAGACTGACACATCCATTGCAGCTCTGTGGTGCAGCCGAGTCACAAGAAAAGGAGTATGCCATCCTCTTCCAATTCAGAACAGGAGGTGGGGTTCGTTGTTCCACACATACATACTCCTTTTCCTCTCTGGCAAACTGAGTTTGTTAATGTAAGGTGAATCCTGACTTCAGTTTGTTCATAGATGGTGGGCAGGAGGTGAGGCTAGGTCTAATTTTTGGAAATTAGACACAGACACCACACCTGCAGTGTAGGAGTTAACATCACACAAAGTATTTTGTACCATAATGTCACCAATTGTAAAGAAGTTGGAGACATTCCAGATACTTTCCCTTCTTCTGCAGCACATTGAGGAGGCTTCTTTTCATGTTACTCTATCCTGATTTAGGTTAGGTATGTGGAGAACAGATCATCTTAAGTACAGTTCAGGCCTTTCCTCACTCACCACACGGTGTCCTTAGAACATGGCCAAGTACTCATGAACTGCATTATTGTATCAGATCAGGCTTTGTCTTCTTTTTATCAACCATGGGCTGTCAAAGATACAGTGAGGGTTTCTCTTCCTCTTTTGGTTTAAGGTCACTTAAAAATACTCATACAAAAAGTATGAGTAAGGTCTTTCCTGTTTTACATCTTTATCAAGAAACTCTGGCCTGAGCTTGAAACCAACATTTTGGAGCAGAATTTGAATGTGTTGTTCCCCCAGCGTAGGAGGTGGTCAGTTCTGGTCAGAAGTTGCGTGCATGTATATATTCAGCATGCGTTTCCTCTTGGGTACACCTGTTTTGTGTAGGTTTTTTCTTCCCCTTAATCAAATATTTTTGTTTACATGGAGTGAGTGCATGGTCCTTTCAGTGCTGTCCGCTCTGGCTGTCTTGTTTGATAGTGAAACTGTAAATGTGAGTCATTTAATGTAGCACTTTAAGTAGCATAATGGAAGCACTGCTCTGCTTTGCAGATAACGACACCAGAGTCGTATCTGGATTTCTTTTGTAGCAAATGAGAAGTGTAAATGGATTCTGCACATCTGGGAATAAGCATGACTTTGTGTCCTCACCCCCTCCCCACCTTTAGTTGTGGGGATCAAGCATCGAACTAGATCATAAGCAATATTTTTGTCAGAGGTATTCATAAGAGATCTCACGAAGCATGGTCAGACTTGATGGCAACTGAGAAGAGGTAACATTTTCTGCAGGGAGTGTAGCAGCAGTGGTGTTGCACCACGGGGAGGTCTGCTGGAGCCCATCTCGTGGACTGTCATAACAGGGCTCCCTTGTGAGACCTGGAACAAAAGGCAGAGGCCCCTGTCTGGGCTGAGGGCTTCAGTGGCTATCACTAGGGTTTTTAAGGTTTAATCTTGCCAAGAGGATTGTCCACAGTGAGGATATATATTTTAAGAATGGGCAGTTGGGAGTAATGAAGTTTTATGGTTTCACTGATGCTGTGTGATTAGGTGTGCATCTCAATCAAATGGGATGCACTTTCTAGGGAGAGGAATGCCTGTGCATGATTTTATTGTAGACATGTTACTTCCATTCTGATACAGGTTGCTTACACAAGTACTGCCAGAGCTCTGAGGTGCTGCAAGTCCCACACCTTCACTTTCACAAGGCAGGAGCATCCAACAGTGCAGTGTCATCTGCAGGCACAGTGTCCAAACACACCTCACCCTTGTTCTGAGGCACTGTTTGAACACAGCAGAGTTACTGCTGATGTGTCTGCTCTGTAGTGGCTTGGATGCCTCTGAATTAAACGATCAGAAACCAAGGCAGCATAGCACAATCATAATTGTGTTTGTAGCTTTATTTTTAGGAGGACATTAATCTTTTAAAAATCACAGGTTCAGGCATTCTTCAGTTGTCCCTCTCTGTAAGCCATAGGCCAGCAATACTGTAAAACAGTGTAGTGTGTTGTAGCAGAGAGATGGCAATGACCTTGTCATTGACAAAAGTCAGTGTGAAGACTAAGGGAGATCCCATGGGTGGAACTTTTACTGACAAGGTGTGGCCTTACATTTGGCATGACTGGAACGACCCAGCAGCCAGTGAAAAAAAAACAGTCCAATGTTAGTGGTATTCAGATTTTTACTCTGCAATTACTTTTTTAATCCCTACAAACAGATAGTCACTGTGCCAGTAGTGTGTTAGTAACACTTCAGGCATTTAGAGAAATTACTGTATTTGTGGCTTGAAACTAGTTCTTTACACTGTGCCAGTTCCTTTTGTTTTGGATCTTGCCATTTTATGGCTTGTATTAAATCTCAAACAATGTTTATCTCCATTTAAATGTTTTTAAGCTTTCGAAGTTGTGTCACTATGTTAAAAGGAGTTTTCTAAAGCTAGTACTAAAAAGCCGTTCTAGGACTTTCTTACGACCTTTTCCAGGGTTCCTCTGCCAGGGTAATTTTTATTTTTTTTTTTTAATCCAGCATGGTTAGAAGTTAAGCACTTACTCTGGTGTGTAAGCAGCAGGGTG